CGAGTGATGAGTGCCATTCAAGTCTCTCAAATGTGGAGCTGCTGAAGCTGAGGTGGTCTGATCGAACAGTAGCACAGAAAGAGAGAGAGAGAGATGGCGATCGACTCAAACCATGGAGCTTTCGTGGAGAAAATCCTTCTGCAACCGCCATCTCCGTCGCGTGATCTTCCTCTGAGCGGCCTCACCTTTGCTGTCAAAGACATGTGAGAACTACTCCCTTCAATTTTCCTCGGTTGTTTCACTCTTTCATTATTTGGAGGCTTCAGAATTTGAATTATTATACTTAAATTTGTCTGCTTTCGTGCTTTTTTGCTGATTTCCGATATTGGGTTCAATCATATTCTTGAAGAAACCATTTTTTTGTTGTTGTGTTTCTGTGATTTTGGGTGTTTGTTTATACAATCCGAGTGTTTTAGAATGCCGAAAGAGCAATTTTAGATAACGAGAAGTGCTTCTAGTAAATTTGACGGAGCAAGTTAAAAGGTGCTTTTTCCAGAAGCACTTGAATTTTTTATGAAGTTTATTTGCTTCTTATCAAAGAACTTATATAGAAACCGCTTATGATCAGAAGTGCTTTTTCAGAGAAGCATTTCTAATAAATCAATGTGCTTTGTGTGGTTATATTTGTTGTGAAACCATGTTGATGAACTTCAGTTGAGGGTGCTAAATAGTGCTATCTTTTCATTTGTGTATTTCTGCGAAAAGCTATAACATCTTTTTTATCACTGAAATATGAACTTGGAGGCAGATTTGATGTGGCTGGACATGTGACCGGGTTTGGGAATCCTGATTGGGCGAGGACTCACCCTGCTGCCGAATCAACAGCTCCGGCTGTTTCGGCAATTTTGAGTGGAGGTGCCACATGTATTGGTATTACTGTCATGGATGAAATGGCGTACAGGTTAGTTCAAAGAGGCCTTATCTTTCACATGCTTAAACTTGCTTTACTGTTTTGGTTGCAAAATGTTTGACAACTGACCGATTGTTACAAGTCTTTTTTCGTAGTAAACATATTCAAATGGCGATTTTGTCCATTCGAAAATCACTTGAAAGAAAAGGCCCTTGAATTTTGCGTTGTGTTGTTGGCAGTATAAATGGAGAGAACGAGCATTATGGTACTCCCACAAATCCATGTGCACCAGATAGGGTGCCTGGAGGCTCTTCTAGCGGTTCTGCTGTTGCCGTAGGTGCAGACCTCGCAGATTTTTCCTTAGGTAAGTTATTCCTTCTTGTGTGCTTTTGGTTTTTTCTTTCTTCTTTATGTTAAAGCACAAGATCCTCACTTTTTCAGGAACCGACACTGGAGGAAGTGTAAGAGTTCCTTCTTCATATTGTGGAATTTTTGGGTTTCGGCCATCTCATGGTGTCATTTCTACTTCTGGAGTTACGCCTATGGCACAAAGTTTCGATACAGTGGGTGAGAAATCAATGACTTTTTATATTGCAGACTGGCTTAGGAAATAGATTTTTGGATGTGAAAAAGAAAATGTAATGTTTCAGTTTTCCCTTGATTTTATATAACAAGAAGTATCTCTATTTCTATTTCTAGAAAGTAGCCAACTTCTTCCACTTTAATGATTCATATGCCATCCATACATTCTGCATAGTATTTGGAAAACTTTACCTATGTGAATTGATCTATCTAGCACTCTAGGCAATCGGAAACATTCCTTTTGACACTAACTTCTGATCTAGGATGGTTTGCTAGGAATCCTGCGATTTTGAATAGAGTTGGACAAGTGTTGCTCCAATTGCCTGATATGGGCCCTGTCGTGCCCACTCAGTTTATCATCGCAGAAGACTGTTTCCAGCTTTCAAGTATTCCAAGCAATCGAGTAGAACAAGTACTTGTTGACTCAGTTGAGAAGTTATTTGGAGGTAAGTGAATTGACTGTATTCATCCGTTTCAGCTCTAGCTATAAGTACTTTGATTGACATAAATCGAGACCAATTTATAATTCCCCTGCGTTTCAAGACACAGAGAGACCATTAAAATCAGTAGACATATTATTACCTGAAAATCATCATTCACTTAGTTAAATTAGATCTCACTGAGATACGGACAAGCTCAATTTATGGAAAGAAGAAGCTCACTTATTATTTTTGACAATGCAGGTCATGTTATAAGGCATGCTAACCTCAGGGACGTTGTCAAGGACAGAGTTCCAAGCTTGAACACTTTCTTGGATAAGGGAAATGCGAGTCAAGAGTACAATATACCACCGTTGACAGCCCTATCAAGCGCCATGCGTCTACTTCAAAGGTGCTGATTTGGTGGACTTGAATATGAGTGTGATAATTTCTGCATCTTGATTAATAAAAGTTCAATTTGTCGTTCGTAATGAATTCCAATTTTATTATTTGAGAGCGTAGGTATGAATTCAAGAACAACCATGGTGAATGGGTTAGTACAGTCAGACCTGACTTAGGTCCCAGGATAGCAGAACGTGTATGGGAAGCTGTTCAGTCAGCAGATGAAAATGTCGATGTATGTCACTCCATCAAGACTGAATTACGTGCTGCTCTTACTGAACTTCTCGGGGTACTCTATCTCTCTCTCACACATCTTGGCAAGCATCAAAGTTCGTTTTAGGAATCCGTTGCTTCATATTATTTGTTTGCATCTTACCTTCCTATTGTCTCTAATGCATATGTGATACATTCTCTTTGATTTACTCTTAGGATTTCGGTGTTCTCGCAATTCCTACAGTTCCAGGGGCTCCACCAAAACTGCAAACAGATCCTACTACACTCGAAACTTTTCGTGCCAGGGCATTCAGCTTGCTCTCCATTGCCGGACTATCCGGACTCTGCCAGGTTTTTAATCCATCTCCTCTCTCCATGTTTGTATGTTTGTGCACGATGCAAAGTACGACACATTACGATCTTTTTCTTCGTCGATGCTGCAAGTACCTGTTGAAAATTTGTAACATATTTCTACGTATTTGCAGGTGAGTATACCACTAGGGTTGTATGACAACCTACCTGTTTCAGTTTCCTTATTGGCCAAGCATGGCTCGGATGGGTTCCTGCTCAATCTTGTCGAGACTCTTTACGACACTCTCAAAGAACAAGTCGGATGGTTGTGATTGTAGATTTTGAGTTGCAAGTTTTATTTTCAAACTCTTTACTAAATAATACTTTTGAATAAAATATATTGCGGGACTCAATTTGCTAACTTGAAGAATTAGGAGTTGACCTTCAATTGCTACTTCTTCAATTTGATAGTTGGGTTGCTGTCTCCGTTGGAGATGCGTTTTTTCTACGTGGCACTACAAACCTAACTTTGTTACCCGATTGCCACCTCTCTTGGAGATGCTCTTAGCTTTTATGTCACGCTTCACAAGAGTGATTTCCGAACTCCCCTCTTCACCTTTTCATGTGCTACCTTGTTAGATGAGCAGCCTAAAATAGGCAAATGAAAAGGATAATCAAAGGGTGGTGCTATCCACATATCCCTTTTATCTCTCACACGTCCCTCTCAATTCCACGCCGTCAATCGAACGAATTGAAACAGAATAAGGGACATAAATTAACAAATAGTTTGCGGAAGGTAAAAACAAGTGTGTGTATAGCACCGTCCCAAATAAACCTAAGGAAAAACCAAAATTATAAGTGGAAAGGCATGTGTTCTGAATAGATATGTGAGTTGTGTGGCCCTTGTGGTGGTTGTACTTCAACGTAGCACAGATACTTGCGCTTTCACGATACCTTTCGATACGTACTATGGGATACGGCTCATGTACAATAAGATACTCATACGATATTTATCTCGAATTAAATTATGAATTTTAATTTTTAGGTGGTTGTAGTATCTAAATGCCGTTCCTACGGGTATGGTTTGCCCACAAGGACATTCATGGACGACTTATTAGGTAGGGATTAATCATTTTGATTTTGAGAGAAGCATCGTTCATTCAACATAAACGTGATTGTAACGATATTTCAACTCAATTATGCACTATATTGAAAGAAAATTAACATTTAAAATTGTACGTAATTAATTTGTACAATCATATTAGCATTCTCGTCGTAGGTTAAGTTCACTCGTAATTGTGGTGACCCCAGTGTCCGAAAGCCATGATCAACGAAGAAGGTAGGCAAGGTAAGAGTGGGCGCTCGACAACCGTGTCGTTGTGAGTGGGGTAGCTCCGAATCAAAACCTAAGGCCCCACTTTTCTTAATTTTTTAATTTTATTATAAGTGAGTGGGTGGAGGACGGTTTTAAACTTCGAGTAGGATTTTTTTTTTTTCCTCTCATTCTCTTCCTTTCTATTTGAACGGTTATAGTTAAATCACGTTAACATCTTATATTAATATTTTATGGCAAAAGAAAGACAAAATAAGAGAATGTGAGAGGAGATGATGAAAGGAGATGGAAAGAGGAGGGGAGAGAATCCTAGTCCTAATTTAGGAGAGATGGTATTTTGATCCCGGTACGCATGGGTGTTAACCCAACATTTTATCCACTCATGCAAAGCAGACTTCAATCTCATAATATAGGAAAGGGATCCTCTTCGGGACCCTTCTACCTAATCATCATCATCAACCAATCTGAATATTTGAAATTTGATCCAACGACTAAAAACACGGATCCACTTTAAAAGTTATAATAACTTTAGCTGTTGAATCAAATTTCAAGGATCCAAATTGTTTGATAAGGAGTATCAGGTGGAAGAAATCGGGAGAGGATCTCTTTCCCATAATATATGCTTGAAATTGGCTCTTGTACTCGATCCAAGACTTCTCGTTTGGTTTTCAGGATTTGATCGGAATGGATAATACTTAATGTATGTTAGAAAAAGAGATGAGAAATTATCCATTCCGATTCCCTTAAAATAAGATATTAGAATAATAAAAAATATCTTCACATATAATCCCTTAAAAACTGACCAAAAAAAAAAAATCCCTTGAAAACGAAAAATTCTTCATTTCTACCTTCACGGTTACCCAAGTCCTGAGAATCAAAACTTGAATACAAATATCGCATATCGTTGATCCATCCAACTTTGCAACCTTAATTTTACACGGTGGTCCCAGCACGTGGTCGTTGCACGCGCCACCTCCTGCATGGAGAAAAAAAGACCTGAAAAACGAGGAGCCAAAAAAACGAATCAGAAGGCAATGCGGCGTTTGAATAAATAATGAAAGAGGCCAACGGTGGTTGGTTGCAGCAGCCTAATTTCGACTTTTCTTACATTAATGGACCGTATATATTTTAACCCACCAAGTTCCAAGTTCCAAGTTCCAACCACCACACTCTCCTCGCACCAGGGAGACTATCTGCAATTTTCAGAATTGGCATCAAAATATTTGGATTTGGTGACCAGATTGGAACCATTCAACTAGTTTCAAGAAATGGAAGTGAAGGCACGAGCTCCTGGAAAAATTATACTCTCGGGGGAACATGCTGTTGTTCATGGATCGACGGCGGTGGCTTCCTCCATTGACCTTTACACCTACGTCTCTCTTCGCTTTCCCACTCCCTCTGGTACTCTCTCTCTCTCTTAATCTCTATTGGGTTTGTTTCAGTCTGTCAATTTATATAATTTATTTTTTGATGTGGGATGTTGTTTGGAAGATTTCGTTTTTTGAGTTGGATTCATGGGTTTTGCTAAGATATCATTTTTGGGTTATGAATGGTTTGCCAATGCAAAGATTTTGCGTCTTTTTTATGGTTGGATTGGATTGATGGGTTTTGCTTAAGCTTTCAAGTGATGGCATTTCCAATTCAAAAGCAAAAGTTTGCATCTTTTTGTAAGCTAAAAATTCAGCTTTTGGGTTGCCTTGAGATCAGGATTCATAGAAAACCTTTTCAGATTCTGGGAAGTTCTATTGGGTAGGATGATAGTGTGTCTGAAACTTCTGTTCTGTTTAGGTTCATGGGTTCTGATTAAGGTTTATGACTGTGTTGCCAACCGCGAAAAGCTTATATCTTTTTGTGAGATAAGCTTAAATTTGGTTGTTCTGTTGCTCCAAATCGTGGTTAAAAGATATCCTCTTGAGATTATGTGAAATTCTATTTGGTGGATGAATCTGATTAGTTAATTTTGTAGGGTTTAAGTTATGTTAGAAGTCTAATTGCAAAAGTCTGAGCCTTTTTCCGAGTTAAGCATTTAGCTACTGGATTGCGTGAAATCAGTATTTAAAGAAGCCCTTTTTAGATTCTGGACAAATCTGTTTTCGGACGACTCTGACTATTGGTCTAGTTGAATTTATAGGGTTTAAGTTATATTAGAAATCTGTTTTCGGATATGAACATAGTAAAGTTCATATGTTCATGTCCAGGTTCATTTTGAATAATTTGTCACTGACCGCCTTTCGCTGTTATTCATAGATAGTGATGATGCACTAAGACTCCAGCTCAAGGAAGTTGGATTAGAGTTTTCATGGCCTATTGGTAGATTAAAAGCAGTCCTATCAGAATTAGATATTCCCAACTCATCAGTGCCAACCTCATGTTCACTGGAGTCGACTAAATCACTTGCTGCTTTAGTTGATGAACTGAAGATTCCAGAGGCAAAAATTGGACTTGGTGCTGGAGTGTTGGCTTTTCTTTGGCTGTATTCATCTATCCAAGGGTATGCAATCGTTATTTGTTTGTATAATCGATTACTTTCAGTTCTTGACTCTTGATTCTTATTTTCTCGTTCTCTGATTCCTTTTCTTTATGGCTCAGATTTAAGCCTGCTACTGTTGTTATCACTTCAGAACTTCCATTGGGTTCAGGCCTGGGATCATCCGCTGCATTCTGTGTTGCACTCTCGGGTGCTCTTCTTTCTTTCTCAGATTCTGTAAGTCTGGATTTGAGCCACAAAGAGTGGACCAGTTTTGGGGAAAGTGAACTTGATTTGCTGAACAAATGGGCTTTTGAAGGTGAAAAGATCATCCATGGAAAGCCATCTGGAATCGACAATACAGTTAGCACATACGGTATGTTATTTTGTAACCTGTGTCCAACACATTATCTTCCTTCATCAATATCTCATTTCTTCATCTTCTTTTTTTTGCTTTTCTTGCCTTGGATCTTTGAGTTATAGTTAGATAAATAGTTTGTCTGGATTAATACGAAAAATTCTACGATGCCAAACAGCCACTTGTGAAAAGGAAAATTTTCAATTTACTCGAAGCCACAATTTTTCGTACATGAAGAGATTCATGTATCTCTATGCATCTACTTCATTAGTGCTTACTAGTACCCCCAAAAAATTGTCTTACCAGATCCACATTGTACCTTGAAGTTCCTTATAGGGCTTTTCTTCGGTAAGATAGGAACTCTATTGAGGTTGATTTGGTTAATCTATCCTCCTTTATTCTTTGCAATCCAAGCCTCCTGTTGGTTCCAAAATCTTGTTAAAAATCAAGATTATGTGAATCAGTGTGGAACTGTTAAGTTGCTAAATGCTTTACTATTTTAGTTAATGTTTCAAATAACCTGAATTTTGACGATGAGTGGGATTATTGTTGAAGAGGAATCATGGATTTTCCGATACTGGCTCATCGCGACTATTCTAGAAACCGTTGTTTTTCAATCACCTAAAATTATAGTCATTCGGGATTGATGTCTCAGTAATTACGAGGTATTCAAATATGCGTAATGGTATATGGTTTCAGACATAGCTCTCCATATCATCTTTTGGCATATTTGTTGGAGTTCAAATGTTAGAGATATGGAGTATTTTAGTTTCTTTACCTTGTTCGATGCAATGGATTTGCTGCTTTTGACGATATCGTAATACGAATCTCTCGTGCAACAGGCAATATGATCAAGTTCAGATCAGGTAGTTTGACTCGCATCAAATCGAACACGACACTCAAAATGCTTATTACCAACACAAAAGTTGGGAGGAACACGAAGGCATTAGTCGCTGGTGTTTCGGAGAGAACTTTAAGGCATCCAAAGGGCATGGCTTCTGTGTTTAACGCAGTGGATTCTATCAGCACGGAAATGGCCAACATCATCCAATCGTCTGCGCCCAATGATCTCTCCATCACTGAGAAGGAAGCGAAAATAGAAGAGTTAATGGAAATGAATCAAGGTTTGCTCCAATGTATGGGGGTCAGCCACGCTTCAATTGAAACCGTTATCCGAACAACGTTGAAATACAAGTTAGCTTCCAAGCTGACGGGAGCTGGGGGCGGAGGTTGTGTTCTCACGCTGCTGCCAACCTGTATCCTTTCATGGTTCCATTTATTTTTAGTTCTTTACCACATTTTCTCATGTCTCGTCATTTTCCTTCTAGTCTCGCAAAATATCAACAAACACGGTTTAACACCTGTTTAGGATTGGTTATAGAAGGGCTAAAATTGCTTTCTGACAACTAAAAGCACTTCTAATTACGTTCAGCAGAAAAACTTAAGAGCGCTTCTGGGTTGTAAAAGCTTTTTATGGAGAGAAGCTCTTCCAAGAGCAATTCCAAGAACCTCTTGGATTTCTAATAATTTTTGTTACATGTTTACAATAAAAGCATTTCATGCAAAAGTGCTTAATTTCTACGTAAGCAGTCCCAAACAAGCCCTTAGTGACCCTTTTGTAGTTTGTTTGGTGTTCACCTAGTTTATTTCCCAACGTTTCCTTGACTACATGAATCAGTGCTATCAGGAACTGTTGCTCATGAAGTAACTGCTGAACTGGAGTCTTGTGGATTCCGTTGTCTGACGGCCGCCATCGGTGGAAACGGAGTCGAAATTTGCTTCGGCGGTTCATCGTAACGTCCCTTCCGAAGTGCTGAGAGTAAGAAGATCTTAAAGCTCCATTGATGGCTGGTAGGACACAAGCTCTCTCTGCTCTCTGTAAATTATTTTCCAGTATTCTGAATTTTTAATCCGATTAATTTCCGTCTTCCTATTTTTTGACGGAAATATTTCAAAAGAACTGGCAATCTGTCCTGGTTCGTAGATTTCTCGTGGCGTAAACAAGATTGTTGCATATACATTTGTTTGTGAGAGATGATATTCTTTACAGGAAGGTGTTGAATTATTTTTATCTTAATCCTCTTTATGAGAGTGTATTCAATTGATAATTTAAAAGATTTTAATGGATTTATAAATTTATGGAATTTTAAATAGAGGGTGTATTCAATTGAGAATTTAAGAGATTTTAAGGAATTTATAAATCCAGATAATTTTAATTGATTTGTAGATACTCCAGGTAAAATTTTAATTCAATTCTTTCGAAATCTCATTGGAAGATGTGAGATTTATGAATGCTTAAAACACTACAAAATCTCTCCAATTCCTTCGAATCCCTCAATTTAAAAAAAAAATTTAAAATCAAATTTTAATTAAATACATCTAAAACGTTATAAACTACTTTAAAATCCTAATTAAATACATCCAGATTTCTAAGAATTTTAATTAATTATCTTAAAATACTGATTGAATACATTTTGAATTTTAGAAAATCACTTAAAATCTTAAATGAATACTCCAAATTCATTAAAAGAATTAAAATCTTTCAAAAAAAAATCTCTCAAAATCTCATTCACAGCTTAGAACTGTTTTAAAGTTGCAAACACACATCATCTTAACAAGATAATTTAAGTCGATAATCTATCTTGTAACTGATTGTATATCGATATCAATTGCTCTTCGCTCTTATGGAGTCGCAATGTGAGACTAATGTGAGGTTCTTAATAAGAGTCGCAATGTGAGATTCTTAATAAGAGTCACGATGTAAGATTCTTACATATCATCAATTCTGATCCAAGAAATTGACACTGTTTTATGTACCACAACTTGTGAGACTCTTACATATGACTTTTTGTGTCGGTTGTAAGATCCAAAGTTTCCAGACTCCTGGATAGATTTCTTGTGGCACCAAGAAAGGTTGCGCAAAATTTCTCATGAAATTTGAATATGCTTGATAAAGCAGATCATTTCTTGATCACTCACGTTACTTTATTTTTATTGAGAAAAAGTACGTTACAAACTTTTTTTACCGACTGACAGACAATTTCACATCAGATATTGATCCGCCGGAGCCTAAGGGACACAACAGACATTTCCAAACCATTTAATCAACATTCTCTCCATACATACAAAGGAGACACTACTTAGCTTACTATATTAATATTAGTACTCAAAAGACAAAAACACTCCTTCACAGACCCCTTCAAGCATTTACTATAACGCCACCTGCAAATTAAATAAAAAAAAAATCCCCCAATTTGTCAAATAAATACGCAACAAAACAAGCATGCAAACAAGGATGCACATCACAGATATACGTCAGATATTTACCGTCGGGATGGAAGACTTGGCCGGTGTAGTAAGAAGAGAAAGCTTCTGAAGCAAGGAAGACGTAGGTCGGTCCAACCTCATACGGCTGCCCGGCGCGCTGCATTGGCACTTCGTTCCCAAATCGTTGGACCTCCTCCTCATCGAAAGATGCTGGAATCAACGGGGTCCATATCGGTCCAGGAGCTACACCATTAACTCGAATGCCTCGTTTAACCTGCTGCAGTGCAAGTCCTCTTATGAAAGCTACGATGGCGCCCTTAGTTGCACAGTAATCAAGTAGGCTGTCACTTCCCTTGTACGCGACGATCGATGTTGTGCAAATAACGGAGCCACCTTCTTTCATGTGCTTCAGTGCATGCCTAACATTACCAATTAGTAAACATCAAATTCTCATACAATTATTAGGGTTTTTTTTTTTATCAAAATTAAAAAATCTTGCTGCATATCTGCTTATCAAAATATTCTGCTACACACCCTGTAGGGTGTGAAAGACAACGTACGGCTACACGTATATATCCACTATTTGGCCCTAGCCAGAGGAGTGTGTTACATGTGGATGTATAAAGGGCGTGTCCACGATGCGAAACATTTCAGATCGGTAAATTAAGAAATTTTGCATGTACTTAAAAAAAATTAAGAAAATTGAACTACTACACTCCCCTTAACTCTAAAGGTAGGACCTCGATTTTGTGAGCATCATACTCAAAATATAAAAGTTTAGAAATTTACCCTCATTTATTAACACTTCCATTTTCTTCTTTCCTTCACTTACCCTGTCATGAAGAAACAAGAAAATATGTTGGTCCTAAACACCCTCTCCATACGGGCTCATCAATATCCTCAACAGACTTACCCTGTCATGAAGAAACAAGAAAATATGTTGGTCCTAAACACCCTCTCCAAACGGGCCTCATCAATATCCTCAACAGAGCCCGCCTTGTACTGCTCGGCGGCATTGTTAACCAGAATATCAATGCGGCCGTACGCGTTGGCAACCTCATCGACAACCTTCTTGCAATTTTCATCAAATCCCAGATCAGCAGCAAGAGCCATGGGCTCCTTGGCATCAGAAGCCTTGACCTGCTTGATCGCTTGGAGCGTCTCCTTTGCGTCCTTGTCCTCATGTCCCTTCACATACGTGAAGGCCACCGTTGCACCCTCCTGAGCAAACAGATGGCACACCGTTGGGCCGATCCCGGAGTCGCCACCTGTCACAAGCGCCACCTTACCCTACAAATACTCAATTGTTAAGTAGATGGTAATGAAAATTATGTTATGTTAAGCAGCTCAATAAAACAATGTGATGTACTTGGAGCTTATTGGAGGGTTTGTAATCAGGGTTTGTGAACTGAGGAGTGGGATCCATGGCATGTTCTTTCCCTGGCTGAGTTCCTTGCCTTTGAGGAGGGAATTGCTGCTTTCCACCTGAAGCCATTCTTCTATAAACTCTATGTACTACTTTTCAAAGTTGATGGAGATTAGGGTTTATTGCAGTGAACTCCTGATCTTGAATGGTGGCAAGGTATCAAGCTATGGAATTTATAGCTATCTTGAACTGACACTTGGAAGAACAGGTGGCAGGGAGCTGTGTCTACGTGTCTTGAAATTTGCATGCAGACTACACATCTGTGAAAACAAACAGTTTTGTTGACATGGGCCATGGCCATGCCTGAAGATAGTCGAGAAGATTTTCTGAAAAGTGATAAGGATGAGCTAATACTCTTTTGCAGTATGAGATAGGTAGAGAGAAGAGCAAATTTTGGATCATGATACGGATCTCTTCTCTTCACCTCAAATTATCCTAAAGTAACAAAGATTTATGAAAAAAGCTGATCGTGCACTTTAGATAAGGATTAGGAGTTACCAACTCCTTACATATTTAAGTCCCTTAAAATCTTTTCATGTGGGCGCCTCTCACAAAATGGAGACTCTAGCTAAATATGTGGATAACAGATGTGGGACGTGAAGCATGTATTGGTAGTGTTATAAATGAATTTATATTGATGAGAATAGTTATTTGTACGTGCTTATAGGTATGTTAGGCTATTCTTCGTATACTGCTATTTGTTTGTTGTAGTTGTAGACCGTAGAACTTTTACTTTTTTTAGCTAGTTAAGATTCATATATGAATCAATCTGTTTCGATATCATTATTTAATGTAGATGTTTCAACCTAAAAATAATTAGCAGGAGACTCGCAGAACTTCTTCAGCACATATTACTTTTTAGAGTAAACTGTCAGTTTACCCCCTAAACTTTCACCTCACTTTCGATTTCCCCCCTGAACTTTTCTATTGGAAAATTAAGGACTCAAACTAATTTTTTTAGCCAATTTGCCCCCTACCGTTAGTTTTTCATATATTCCATCCATATTTCCGTTAAGTGAGACCATGTACACAACATGTGAGGGTAGTTAAATTATTTCACTCTTAAAAATGATTAAAAAACTGAAAAATAAAAAAAAAACAAAACTTTCCCTCTATTTTTTCCCGCTAATTCCTATCCTCGATTTTATTTTTCCCTCTCATTCCTATGCATGAGAAATGACATATGGTGTTATTGTCTACCATTTTTATTTTCTCTAACAAATTAATAATTTGACAAATGATAATGGTGCTATTGTCTCCAAAGCAGTGCATTAATATAAGAAACCCTAGTCTTTTTTATGGACATGTTTCTTATATTAATGTACTGCTTTGGAGACAATAGCACCATGAGCATTTGTCAAATTATTAATTTGTTAGAGAAAATAAAAATGGTAGTACATGCTTCAAGAAAAAGATTAACTTAGCTACTTATGAAAACAATAACACCATATGTTATTTCTCATGCATAGGAATGAGAGGGAAAAATAAAATTGAGGATAGGAATTAGAGGGAAAAAATAGAGGGAAAGTTTTGTTTTTTTTTATTTTCAGTTTTTTAATCATTTTTAAGAGTGAAATAATTTAACTACCCTCACATGTTGTGCACATGGTCTCACTTAACGGAAATATGGATGGAATATATGAAAAACTAACGGTAGGGGGCAAATTGGCTAATAAAATTAGTTTGAGTCCTTAATTTTCCAATAGAAAAGTTCAGGGGGGAAATCGAAAGTGAGGTGAAAGTTCAGGGGGTAAACCGACAGTTTACCCTACTTTTTATGTGATAATACTTCACATCAGACATGTTATTCCACGTCATTTTAATTTATGAGAAAGGAGATTTATTGTGTGGAACCAAAATATATTAACTTAAGGGAAAATTAGGTTAATATCCTTCTTTTTATTACTCCATTGATTAAAATCCTATTCATTTTCAATTTTTGATCAAGGTCCTTGGGTATTAATAACATCATTAATTATTTGAATAATAAAATATTTTTATTTTTAATATATTCCTTTAGTGTTAAAAATGTTACAATTAGTATATTTATATTTATGGCTAAATTTTTTATCATATATTTTTATTTTTAGTTTGTACCTATTTTTAATTTGCAAATATTTTTTTTTAATTTGTAGCAATTTTTTCTTTTCATTTTTAATTTGTACCCATACCCATATAGTTTCTTTTTGTGCCCATATTTTTTTAAAGTTTTATTTGTGTTTGTGTACCTATGTGTATACCATCACGTGACATTGTATATTTAATCAATGATAGAAAAATTACATATGGTATATTTATGTTTTATGCCTAAACTTTGTATCATATATTTATATTTTTAGTTTGTACCCACTTTTAATTTGCAACATTTTTTTTTAAATTTGTAGTATTTTCTTTTTAGTTTTTTTTGTACCCATGTATTAATTTCTTTTAGCGCCTATATTTTTAAAAATTCATTTGCACTCATAATTTTTAATCTTTTATATGTACCCTAATTTATTTATAATGTACCCATTCTTCTTTATTAATGTACCACTTTGTTTATGTGAAATGTACCAATTTTTTTAACACTAGGGATACATTCTTTTGCCATTTATTATTTCTTATTTTTACATAGTTTTTCTCCATTTATTCAATCAAAATGTTTGAATTTTTTTATTGTAACCATTTCTAGTAGTATTATAATGAGGGATTTTCAATTTATAGGATTATAAATCTCATAAAATATCAAACAATTAATGTCAAAACTATAAAAATATAAATATTAATAGTAATATAATAAGGTGTACAAAGTCAAGGGACCTTGATCAAACTTTGAATACTATTAAGGTTTTAATCAAAGAATGTTAAGGATTAGCGACCCCATGCAAAGTATCCCTTAATTTAACCAACATACCTAATTTATAAGTTAATGCATTGAGATAATAAACCACTCGTAACGAGTAAGAAATTTGATGTGCAATCAATAATAATTTAAAAATGTTAATTAATACTTAAGTAACAATATAACTATCAACAACTATATCATTTAATTTAAAAATTAGTTTAAAAACAAACTCTCTAGTGTTACTCTTTGACATATCCGTAGATAGTTAATCTATTCCGCAATAGAGCCGTTGAAAAAGGTCCTTGAGCCATGCTTTGCATGTCGTCCACGTGCAAGGCCAACTGGTAGCCAAGTAACTGATACATGTCAATTAGGCACCAAGTTTAGCGTTGTGTAATCGATCAGCTCTCCAACACCTGGAAGATTGCCTTCGAAAAAGGGATACAAGGCATTGGTAAACTCATCGTATAACAATCTCTCAAGTCTCTCATCCTCTCTCTTTCTCCCTGGTGCTCTCAATCTAAAACCTCATTTAATTTCCAGAAAAGGCCTTCAGCCAGAGCATTAATTGAAACTATGGCTTCCCTCATCGAACTTAGCTGCTTCTTCTTTGTGATTGCTCATTCCCTTCTCTTGCTTTCTCCGTTGGTGCAGGGTGCTGGTATGTGCTCTCTCTCTCTCTCTCTCTCTCATATCTGTGTTCTTGTACATTATATGTATCTATATATGTGTGTGTGTGTATGTTAGGCATGACATCTTACTAAATCTGCAGAAAACTATACTTGGTATGAATGCATATTTTTCCATTTCTTCGTTACTAGCAATTAACCAATTACTCTCTAGTTTGTCGAAGTTTAGGGCGTGTGTTTCTTTTTCTCGTTGCATTTACTTGCTATTTTCTAAAACAACCAATGAACTTAGTCTGTCAAGATTGTTATAAAAAGTACTAATGGTTGTTGTGTCACGGTCTATGTGAGTGTACCAAGTCCAAACTATGCACCTATATATATGTTATCCCAACTTGATCACTCAAACCTAGACACCTAGGACTATTAGAAAATAGCAACAAATAAACCTTATTAATAACAACCTAATTCCGACAAAAATCCGAGACTGGCATTAGTTTGTGAGTCTGTGATTCACATATATCCTTGGAGATGGCATGCAATTAAGTTAGTGACAGGCCCATAGTTATAGCATTGGTATGATATTGCAGTGGCTAATCCATTCTCAAAACTTACTTTACCTATTTGCCTGCAGATAAGGATGAGGACAACCTTCTCCAAGGCATTAACAGTTACAGAACCTCACTAAACCTGCCCGCCCTCGTCAAGAACGGTAATGCAGGCTGCTTAGCAGAGCAAATTGCTGATGACATGGAAGACCAGCCTTGCAGCAGTCCCACCAACGGAGCCAACATTCTGGCAACCACGCCGACTCCGCTTGCCAATCTTCCCAAGCACTTGAGTAAGTGCAAAATCGATGCCAACAGCACATCAGCCGGAGTTATTCTCCCTATTTGTGTGCCTCATTTGGTCCCAACTCTGGTGCTTACCAATTATACTCACCGACCGCAGTTCGCAGAGTGTCTGAACGATTCGAAGTTCACTGGAGTTGGGCTTGGATCCGAGGATGATTGGATGGTGGTGGTTTTGGCCACAAATAACCCAGCTGGAAGCTTCGCTAATGCAGCAAGCTCGTTAGTTTCAACTGTTGGTTTTGGTCGTTTCTTGGTCACCTTTTTGCTAGGGTTGTGTTTTATCTTGGTTAGCTGAAGTTGTGTTGTGTGTGCCAAAATATTTGAAATTTGGTAGTTGTGAACTAGCTAGGGATTCCAATTGTATGTAATGGCTGAACTACATTATGTTTTCACTTCATGTAGTGTTATTTGCATAAAATATGTGCAAAGCAGAATAAATTTACCAAATTTAGGGCAACTTTGTAGTTTGTGGTTTTCATATCGGAAAGTCGAGAAACTTTGCAAGGGTTTTTAAGGATTTCGTACCCATTGAAATATCGGTTTTGGGATTGGAACCTCAACTATCAGTATACTTACGCCTGTGCTCCACCTCACCGGAATGAAATAGATAACAACCAGAATCTGTCAGCCAGAATTCTCTAGCAAAGAAATTATTGAACCAAAAGAGAATTGGAGAAACATCTCTATCTACTTTTAATTTATGGAGAATTAGAATTCCTTGGCATCCAAGGCAACTCATATGAAGCAAAGAATTGAACCCAAAACCCTAAAAGACAACATTAACCCACAAGCAATCTTTTTATTCCTCCCCAACTGGTGTATATTTATGCACCCTATTCTTGTCACAAGGCCACTGTCCTAGCACTAAAACAATGGCCTCCTCCAAGCTAAGCTACTTTCTCTTTTATGTTCTTGGCTTACTCTTTCTTTCTCATCCAGTATTTTCAAACGGTACTATTATCTTTCTCGCGTCTCAAAATTTTCGCTATATATGTTGTCATTTAATTTGTTAGAACAAAATCATTTCTCTAATATCTTATTTTCTTTGCAGATGAAGAAGACAAGCTTTTCCAAAGTCTCAACAACTTCAGGCAATCCCAAAAGCTTCCGGAGTTCAAGAAGAACGACAATGCAGCTTGTCTAGCCGATAAACTCGCCGACAAGCTAGAACACCGACAGTGTTCTAGCTCACAGAAGTACAGCATCGAGCCAGGCAACGGACCCAAATTCCCGAAATTCGACAAGCTCAGGAGAAGGTGCCATATCGAAACCAACTCGACAACAGCCGGCATCATTTGGCCCGTCTGCGTGCCGGATTTGGACGAGGATCTTGTGCTCAACAACTACACTCGCTCCCATTACGCAAAATATCTGAAGGATTCTAAGTATGCAGGTGTTGGGATTGGTTCTGAGGATGATTGGGTGATTGTTGTGTTGACCACTGACGCACAAAGTGGAAGCTTTGCGAGCGGCGCAGCCTCTTTGGGTGCCATTGGCATGATTCATTACATGGCGGCTGTTTTGGTGGGGTTGTTCTTGGTTTTGCTCTGCTGAATTGCTCTTCTATTTTCTCTTTTATTGTGTTGGAATGTGATTATTTTTTCCCTTTAATCTTACACATAGTAGTAAGAATGTGTAACAACTCCACTTTCTTTGATTTAAATTATCTTGTACTTATTCATCTTTAAGACAAACCTATTTTCGATTGTAATTAAGTGACACCTATTTTCGATTGTAATTAAATGATGGATTGTTTTAATGGTTGTGGTCTTCCGCTTCAACTTATTCCGTTCTGAATCTAAATTTTTCTATCTTCCATTTAGTTTAGATTATCGTTGTACTAAAATAAAATAATACCTATTTATCGATTTTTCATTAACGTAAAATCCTACATACTTTTCTTGACAAGATATCATCTTCTGAAATGTTTTTAATTTACGTATAGAAAGACTCCAACTTGGACTTTTTTATATACTTTGGATCAACTAAATTAGATTGTCATTCTTAAATAACCTAATTCTTACTAAACTCATTTGTTCTAATTGCATTTTAAGTTTGGTCCGTTAAGTTGAGAAATTTGTGAGTGGGAGGATTACGTGCATCATCCCTTCATGTTACAGTATATGAATTAATCACACCATATGACGGTTAGTCACTAAAAAACTTCTCAAATACATCATTATACAGTGATAATCTATTCACATATATAAAAATCTAATTACTGTTGTGATTCAGAACGTTCGCCCATCATAATTTCAAATCTCCTGTCCTAATATCGCTTAAACCAAAAAGAAAAAGAATTTAAATTGCTCAAAAAGTTTAAATAAAATCAGATATTAATATTTGAAAGATTTGAACATTTTTTTTTCTTTTCTAACTACCTCTATTCTTCTCCTTCTTCTTCTTCGTTTTGTCAAAATAAATTATGTTGGAAGAACAATTGCTACAATTGGAGTCTCGCAATTCATCAAAATGTGTAGTCATTTTCATCTAGTACGTCATAATTTTGTCAAAATGAGTTATGTTGAAAACACCATTGCTATAATTGGGTTAAAGTTGAGGGACCATTGCTACAATTGGGTTAAAGTTAATGGATCATTACTCTAATTGGGTTAAAGTTGAGGAACCATAATTTCTCTAGTTGGATTAAAGTTGAGGGACCAATGGTAATGAATTTTTAGTTGTGGGACCATAGCTGCACGTTTTAATAGGTTGAAAGATCAATGATAATTGTTTTTTAATAAATGAACAATTGCTCTAATTAAATTAAAATTAAAAGATAATTGCTACAATTTACTTTCTTTTTTTTTTCGACAAAAGTCAATAAAACAAATCGCGTTTAGCTTAGCTGGATTGGGTCCTGTCCACGTCATTCTCCCGCATGCGTCCAAATCGAACAAAACCACCTTAACGGAAACAACATCCCCCCATAGACACACAGAAAAACAGAGAGATAGAGAGGCACACACAGAGCTTCAAAGCCCTCGTAGCAATGGCGGAGGTCGACGACGCCGAGGACTTCGGAGACTTCAAGTTCGTCACCGCCGTCGATCCCAATCCCAAGATCAACGGACGAGATTCGACCGTCTCGGACGACGATTGGGGCGACTTCGTAACCGACAGCTCGAGCCAGATCAAAGCTCAGGTCGTGCTCCCCAATGGAATCACGTACTCCCAATCACCTCCCGCCCAAATCCCCTTCGACCCTTTTGGGTCTTTCAATGTTTCTAATGGGTCGGCGCCGACCAGACCCGAGACAGAGCCAATCCGAGTTGAGACTGAGCCCGCGAAGGTTGATAAGACTCGGTGGGTGAAGCCGCAGGGAGCTTTGCCGTTGTCGTTATTTGGGGAAGAGCAGGAAGAGGAGGAGTCTAGTGCGGGCGAGTCCAGGGTTGGGGACATTGCAAACGAGGGATTTGCGAAAAAGGAGTCGAATTTGAATGTGAAAAATGTTGGGATCGATGATTTGATTACGAATTTGTACGGTCAGAATCCAAAAATCGTGTTTCGAAATGGGTCGGATTCGAATTTCGGCTCCGGCGGTCCTAATTCGACCATAAAAGGGTTAAATTTCATTGCAAATGGGATGGATTTGAAGTTTGATGCTCCGATTCCGAATGGAGATGGAAAACTTGGTGGTTTTAATTTGGGTGCGAATGGTTTTGATTTGAAATTTGATGGCGTGGGTTCGAATTCGAAGACAAGTGTGTCGAATTCGAGTTCTGGTGGTCCTACTTGGGTCAAAAACGGGTTGAATTTCAGTGCAAAAGCACTGGATTTCAAGCATGATGCTCTGGTTCCGAAAGAGAAATTGGGTGGCTTGAATTTGGATTCGAATGGTTTTGATTTGAAATTTGATGGGGTAGATTCAAATTCGAATACAAATGGGTTGAAGTTGAATTGGGAGGAAGGAAATGAGGACTTTGATGAGGAGGATGATGATGGTTGGGAGTTCAAAACTGCGGATTTGAAGGTAAAAGTTGTTTTCTGGTGATTTTGATGTTCTTGTTTAGATGGAGTATGGACTCTGTTTGGTTTCTGAGAATTCTGAAGTGAGAAAAAAGTAGAACTTCTCTTTCTCTATATGGTTTGCAATGCGTATTGAATTCTAGGCGGATTTGTGAGGAACAATTCCATTGGCTTTTAAATTTTCTTATAAGTATTGCTGAAGATTACCATTTAGTGGGAAAAGGCTTTGTTGTTGTTGTTGTTCATTGCTTTAATTTTAACTTTCATATCAGGAACAAGGGATTATGGAAGTAGCAGGATCAAAAGCGGAATCAAATGCACACGTACGACCAGAAATCCAGGCGGGTATTGTTTATTGTTGTATGTCTTGTTTATTTGTTGTTTTTGTGTCCCGCCATGGAACTTCTCTTGGAAATGCAGAACTTAATATTTCAATCACCCTCTGTTTCTTCTGGTGTGATTTTGCATTTGCACACTCAAATAGGGGACTTAGATTTTCCATTTATATCGAACTATAGCATACCATTGGACTTTGAAAAAAATGCCTGTTGGTTTGGTCCACCAAGTCTGACATTTCGCATTTTGAAGGTTGACGGGAAGTGGCAAGCAAATACCAGAGGAAGTGGATTTAGTGGGGGGTTTTTATTTGATTTCAACCCTAAGCCTGTTACTCAAGATAATTTTTTCTTCGATCCACTTTCAATAAGCAAGCAGAACAATGCTGCGGATAAACCCAATTCTACTCCAGTTAATGGAAATCTGTGGGAGTTCAAGGATGCATTTTCAGAAACTGGACCAGAACATAAGTTGGTGAGTTAGTTTGATTTTTTGTTAATTTATATTATTTTCGGTAGTTCTGATCTGGATTACTGAAATGTTGACTTTTAAGGAGCGTGTCTTGTAATACTTAATTTTTGGTTGTAGGAAGAGGCAATGGCTGCCAGTCCTGCTGGTGTTGGAGCTCATGCTCATAATGATTTTTTTGCTGCATTTTATGGGGATTCTAGCAAGTCTGGAGCAAGTAACTTTGCATTTCCTTATATCCCGAGTTCTGGTAGGAAAGATGGTGTAATCTCAGATTCACATTCCAGTGGCAAGAAAGAGGACAACGTAAAGGAGTTGAGTAGTTCTCCAGATGTTGGTTCTGATGACGATTTTTGGGAATTTAAGGATGCATTTTCCGGATCTGGATCAAAGCTTGAGGTAGATGATTCAGCTGACTTCGTTTATATACATGTTTTTCACTTACATTAAAAACTTTCAAGGAATGGGAATAAACTTATTTCCATTTTGGTGTAGGGGGAGCCAGTGGTTGCCGGTAATTCTCCCACCAGTATAAAACCATCTGCAATGGGTGTTGAAATCCAGGTATCCATTCCTGATATCTCTTACACATTATTGATATAGTGAAAGATTGTTGTTGCTGCCCCGTGGACATAGGCACATAGCCAGACCATGTAAATTCTTGGTGTT